TTCTCCTCAGAATACCATATGAAACTAGATATAGTAATGCTATCTACCTTTCAAAACAGAGCTTGCTCCTGGGAGTGGAGGGAGCAGATAGAATCAGGGAGAAACACCATGTAGATGAATTCTAATAGCATTGCGACATTTTAAGCACGTATTTCTTTAAAAGTAAAAATCAAATATGGCAAAATGTTAGCATTTTTGCCATTTGATTGGTGGATATATGTGTTAGTTACATTATTCTCTGTATTTTTATGTGTAACAGAAATATGTAATGCTAATCAAAGCAAAGATCAAATATGCACATTAAAAGATTAAAGATGAAATGAAACAGAACAATGGTAAACAGAAACATCTTCAGGAATGACATTTCTTCCAGAAGATGCTGTCTTTGTCTATGCACCTTTTAGGCATAAATTGAATTGCCAATGAGGGAGTAGTTGTTGAACTGCTCCTGGCAAGACTGATATTTGGATCTGGGGCAACTGGGAACCATGTTGTGATTGGTGATTGAAAGCCCCTCGTTACTGGGTGAATCAAGTTTGAGTCGAATTGGTGGCCTATCTCCATGAAAACTCTCATACTTTACACCTGCATTCAGCTTTTCCTTTTTCCTCTTCTTTCTCTACTTTTTTTACTTTATCATCATAACATAAGGTGCTTTGACTCAAGAAGCAAACTTTCCAAGTTCAAGTCTCAGCTGTGCCTGTAACAAACTGTGGCCTTCTGCCAGAAGTCTACATGCCTCCTCTCTCTCATCTGTAAACTGGATGGTAATAATGTATTTCATAGGGTGCTTGTGAAGATGAAATAACTTAATTTTTTTTCTTCTTTTTGGCCAGGGCTGGGTTTGAACCCACCACCTCCGGTATATGGAGCCGGTGCCCTACTCCTTTGAGCCACAGACGCTGCCCTAAATAACTTAATTATTTATAGAATATTTAAAACAGCACTTGGTTCATTATAAGTGCTAACTAAGTGTTTGATATAGAATACAGGTTAGTGGACTTTCTTTTTTTTTATCTTGTTTAATTATATTCATCAATCAACCCAAAATTTCCTAGGTAACAATGAGAGAGAGCTTAGTGTCTAAAATTACAGGTTGGGAAATCCAAGAGGCCAGTCATGTAATCCCAAACTGTGACTTTTTTTGTGGCCACCCTATACATATAGCTAGCTAACAAGCTTGATAAAATATCTTATTAATTAAATAGCATCTTTTGGATTTTTTGTGCATCTAATCAGAGTATCTGTGCATAATGATAGCTTTGTTTCTTCTCTTCCAATATGTATACATTTTATTTGTTTTTCTAGCTTTACGATGATGTTTAAGGCTGGCAGTTCAATATGATAGTCCTGACATTAGGTTAGTATTATAGTTTTAAACCCTGAAATTTAGAGGTGGTTTGTTTCATAGTAAGAGATCATGAAAACAATTTTTTTCTGTTCTTTGGAGTAGCTATTTCCAGAGAAATAACTTTGAAAAGTTACCTTGTCAATTCTAAAATGAATCCTTAACCTATGTTAACCCACAACTTAAACTTCTAGCCAGAAAAACTGTGACTTTTATTAGCTCTGAGGACATGACTAAGTAGTGTAAGGGCTTTAACTTTTGAATCCTCATATATAAAAGGAGGGTAGTTCAGTATCATAGTTTCCCCAAGCCTTTTGCAGATTCCTTACTTGCCTAAGGAAGTAATTTCTGGTACCCAAAAGTCCTGAAATACCAATATCTTGCTGCAGCAGCCTCCCAGGGATGCTCTGCGTCCTCCCAGGGATGCTCTGACTCTACTCCCTTTGATTTCTTTGCCATGTGAGCTTTCCCTCTCAGTAGCCAGAACCTGAATCTCTCTAATTGCCACTCCCTGTAGATACTGAAACACACTTTGCCTGCGGGAAAGGAAGGACAGCAGGAAGTCCCCAGGGACTTCCATTCTGTGCAGCAGCACAGAATTTTCAGACTCCAACTCCCTTGCTGATCAGGAA